TTCTATTAAGTTGTGTTACTGGGAAAGATTTGTTTCCCGTTTTGTTTGTTTGTGTACATTAATGTAAAACTCAGTTGAAGAGGCTCCTGTCAGTCTGCTACTGTCAGCAGTATAAAGAGGAATTCACACAGGAAGAGACGAGCAGCTATGCAGAAATGAGAAATCACAGGTTTGGTATAGGGCTAGAAGTTAAATATATCTCAACTTTGAAATGAGCAACTAAAGCAACAACCAATGGCAGCAAAATATACAGCTCACAGACATGATGATATGCACTTAAATGCTTCTCTTACTTTAGTCTCACACTGCCCTAACAATGCCAAATAAGAAGAAGCACTAATGCTAGTTCCTCAAACAATAGTTAGGTTGAATACTATTTTCAGAGCAGCTGAATAACATTGAATCTTTTAGAGTTTCTCTCACCCGTCAGAGTTTTCCTCAAAGCTGCATTCTCTTCATTCAGTGTTTGGAGATTTTTTCTGCTAAGCCAGTTTTCAACAGCTGATTTCATAACAAGAGAAAAGAAGTTAGAGTAACACTTTTTGGTTTCACTAAAATGGGACAAAGATTTGTCCTTTCAGATCTTTTCATGACAAGATTTTAAAACAATGCCTTTGAAGTAAAAAATTGGAGGAAAACATCAAGGGAACATTTCTTTTTTAAAGCCAAACTTATATATATACACCTGTGCACACAATAGCTGAAACAGATCATGAAAAAAAGACTGTCCCTTTTGGTTTGTTTGTCTTGGTTTCAGATGTGTGTGTTGTTCGATTCAGGACATACGCAAAAAAGCCTTGCACCAGTAATGAAGGGCAGAAAGGTCGAGTGTCTACTGCAGCAACCAAGTCATGGAAAAAATGAAAAACGGTAAAGACAAAGCAGGCCCAGCGATAGAGGATGTGCCAGTAGCAGCATTGTTCCATTTCCTGTTTGGGCCCGCTTTGGAGTTAGTGCTACCTAAGAATGATGGCAGTAAGAAATTGATTAATTAAAATCCAAAAGTGTGCAAGCACTGTGCATGCTGCTAACATAACTACTGTTGCTTATGCCAGCTGCAACAAGTCCAATATCCTCATCTATAGAGATGTCACCCCAATGTCTCAACTTTCTCTCAGTGAAAATTTATAACAAAAGGACTGGCAGGTTTCATAGATAAAGATATCCAGGCTTATGTCATAGTAGAGGTGACAGAGTGAGACAGAGTCAGTCATTTTAGTCATTATGTTTTGAACATGCAGAAAGGTCTTGAGGACGGCAGGATCATTGCATTTTTAGCATCAAGAAAAAACAGTCTTTTAGTTAAAACGCGACAGTGGATTATTAGTTATGCACTTGCATAATTTAAGTAAACCCTTTAAAAAAAAATTTGACAAACAAATGAAAAGCATTTTTAAAGCATCAGCGTCTCCAGTTTTACTCTAACCTAACTTTAACATAAGAATGTGACAATGACGTCCATTCCAGACTGCTTCATTCTTTCAGTTGCATGACTACATGGCACATCCTCAGGAGAAAACAAGCATTTTAAACACTGTAAATTGTACTTGAATGGCTTCTTATATAGCACTTTTCTACTCTGAGCACTCAAAGCACTTTGCACAACTTCCCTCATTCACCCATTCATGCAAGCCCTTTTTTCTTTGTTCTATGTATTTGGCAAGCAGACTGGAGGGATCGAACTACCAACCTTACGATTAGCAGATGACCTGTATACATGTCCTGATATATATTACCTGATACCAATAGATTTACCAAATTGAACCAAAAAAAACATTCCACCCCTAGTGCGCACACAAAACTTACAGAGACGGTAAATAACAATGACAGCTGCTGCCAGGAGAACACAGAAAACGAACAGGGCTATTCTCTCTGAGGTGACCTTTGACCCTTTGGTTGATTTTGCATGTTGAGCGTCAGGAGCTTCATCTGATGAATCACATAAAGAAGACAGTGTAGTTAAGGGCAAATAGAGAAACATTTAACTGTTTATGAATGTTCAGCCTTTGTCTGGTAAAGGCTGGTTTGTCTGGTTCCTCAAGCTGCCAACTCTGAGAACCACAGTTAGATTAGACAAGACACATGTGAAATGTGACACATTTTCAGATCCTCATTTTAATTCTGACTTGAAGTCTACTTTTATATATCAAGTTAGTTTATATATCAGTGTGGGTTTATTCCAGTTAACTTCAAACTGCTGGTTCTACTCTTCTCCTTTCTGTTGAATTAACATAATATTCTTACCCTCTGTGCAGCTCTGTGGACTGCTCATCTTGCAGTCTTCAAGGTTCTGACTTCAGAATTAGTCCAGCTGTCTCTAAATCACAAAATCTAAATAACAAAAACTAAAACTATTTGTGCTTTTCTCATTTTTGTGATTTTTTTTTTTAGATTCAGTTACATTTAAATGACAGATTAGCAATGAGACTCACCATAAATGTTTCCTTGTCCTCGCCTTAGCCTTTTAAAAAGGAAATGCTAAAAAACCCCAACGACTTCATGTTATCAAAAAACAGCTTCCTGTGAATTAAAGAAGGAGGAGACTTCAACTACAGTTCGTACTGTAAGTAACTGTTTTCATTTTGACTGAGACAAAGTTTTCTTGTGTGTGGAAATGCTGCACACATGTTTGCCATCACTGAATATTTTATTCATGTGCATTTGTTTGTGATTAAAAAACACATTGTTTTTAACGCTGTTTATTCTTTTAACTCTTTTATTATTTGATGTCTATGTTTGAGTTCCTTCATTTTCCCTGATGAAATAATTACTAATTTTCAGTATTTTTAAAATTAATTTCATTTATTTTGCCACCTGTCTTGGTTGGTGAGAGGAAAATGACCAGACAGCATTCCTCCCTGGCCAAGATGTGTGTCTTTGCAGTCTATTTACACCTAAAGGCCAGTGGACACTCTTTCAATGATGAGGATGTACACATCTTGGACAGGGAGGAACGCTGGTTTGAGCATGGAGTCAAGGAGGCCAAAGGGAAAGACCATCTCTGAATCGAGGAGGGGGCCTGAGGGTACATCTTTTGCCATCTTACATCTTACTTACAATGCTGTGATTGCAGCCATTCCCCAACTCTCTGTGAATGGTACTCATGGCCATTGATCAGTGGTCATTGATCAAGGGATTTTGGTCAGTGGTTGTTGATCAATGGTCATGAGAATTTGCATAATTATGATTAAGGAACTGACCTCACAGCCCATTGTTCCTTCAGTGGGCTGGTTTCAGT